GCCCAGCGCCGTCTCTTCAGGCCGACGGTGCCTGACTCTGAAGGGAATATTCACGAACTTTCTGCTGCCCTTGTAAGTTTCACATTGACTGGAAAACCCATTTTTTAAAGAAAAGAAACCTTCGAGCCACATGCAAATAGCCCCGCGTCTTAAATGGATTGGTTCTGCATGAGCCTCCGCCAGGCACAAAATGCTGAAGGTTTCTATTGTCTTATTTGGCTTCTTGTCCAAAAGTTAATTTGGATAAAAATAATTTGGGCTGACAACTGTATTGTATTAGTTAAGGCCTCTCCAGTTTTTTCTGGCAGTAAACTTTAAAAAAGAAGGGAGGGATGGGGGGTGTCTTTAAAATATGAGAGAGTTGAACACTTTAAATAGTGTGTTGGTTATAAATGGAGTTAAGCAACTCCAGTTTATATTTCATTTAAATCTGAAAGTAGATGAGCTGGAGTAGAATAATGCCTTACTTCCTTTTGACAAAGTAAATGATACGCATGCCCAGCTGTATGGCACTTGAAGTATAACCACGTTTATACTGTTGAATCATTTGCTCCTCGTGTAATTTTTTTTAAAATTCATTTAACAAATTCGGAACTGCTGATAAATCTTGTCTTGAAATAATTCTTCCCTCCCCCAGACCAAACATCCTTTCTAGGTCCCACCCATTTCTTTGCCCCCTTTTATTTAAACAACAACAAAAGGGGACATCTGTAATACTTTCAACAATAAAGTTTTTAAAAGACAACAGCACTTCTTTCAATGACTTGGGGCCAACTCTCTATTTCCACTCCTCCAGTTTCCTCCTCCACCCTCCCCTGGGCTGTTTGTCTCCATCACCCCCTTGCCATTGGTGAAATCCAGTATCTGTGCATAGTTTTCACTTCCTATGACGAGGTTGACAGCTCCTTCTCCTTGATACTCTTTCTTCATTTGGCTTCCTAGTCACCAGTTCTCCTGCTTTTCCTTCCACCTCACTGGTACTCCTGTGTCTGCAGGCTTCTCCTCTCCCAAACCACTAAATGTTAAGAGTACCACAGAGCTCAGTTGGCCATATTCTCTTTCTAGCCATACTTCATCCCAAGGCACTTTGTATCCCAAGCCATATCCCATGGTTGTGAATAACATCTGTAGCTGAAAAACTTCCAAATTTTTATCTCTAGCTTTACTTCGCCTGAGCACCAGATGCATACGTCCACCTGTTTACACGCCATCTCTACTTGGAAATCTAAGAAGCATTTAAATGGAGTTAGTCCAAACAGAACCCAGTCCTCCCTTCCATTTTCCCCTCAGTTACCTTCCTTATCTCAGTAAATGTTAATGCCATTCAACTAGGCTGAAACTCCAGGAATCATCCCTGATGCTTCTTTTTAGCTCACACCCTACATCCAAGCATCTAGCAAATTCTTTCTGTTGACTCTACCTTGAAAAGATACCTCAAATCTGACCACATTTCACTGCCTCCCTCATGCAAAACACAATCTCTCTTACTGAAGTCCCAGATTTACTCTTGCTTCTGTCCTTATTCCTCCTCAGTCTTTCTACAAATAGCAGTGACTTTTTTCAAGTATAACCAGAATTTTCACTTCCCTTAAAAACCTTTTGATGGCTACTTACCACAGTCATGAAAAACAAACTCTTCATATGGCTTCAGAGCCTTGTGTGATCTAACTCCTGGCAGCTTCTCTGTTCTCATCCCCTACCTTCTCTCTTGCTTACTCCACTGTAGGGACACTGACCTAGAGGCTGTTCCCTTTGCCTGCGATGGCCTCTGGTAGACATCACAGGCTGTGCACCTTCACTTCCCAGTGCAAGTGCTCTGTCTCAGTGCTGCCATAGTCCTGTTGTGCCATTTTTTTATTTGCTATTGACCCTCAGAAGGGTAGCTGTTAGATACTGGTATTCCATGAAGCATATGGCACCTTTAGAACATTGTAGGTTACTAGGACTCTCTAATATATTTTGTATATTTTTTAAATTGATTTCAGAGAGAAAGGGGGAGGGAGAGAGAGAGATAGGAACATCAATGATGAGATAGAAACATCATTGATCAGCTGCCTCCTGCATGCCGCTCCCCCTTGGGAATCCAGCCTGCAACCTGGGCATGTGCTCTGACTGGGAATCAAACTATGACCTCCTGGTTCATAGGTCGATCTCAACCTTTGAGCCATGCCAGCCAGGCTGGACTCTCTATTATTAAAATGCACAACCATCTTTCTGTTGGGCCTCATTTTGACAAGATATACAGTTTACCCTTAAATTCTGTGTTTTTATAAAATGTTCTTCCTGTCTGGGGAGAAGATTTGCCCTTTAATGCCAGTTCTCATTTTTAAATATAGGAAATGAGAGAAAAATACCATCCAGTTTACTGAAAAGAATATGTAATAATTATTTTTGTTAATTCCTTTGCTTCAGCAGAAGCAGTGGTCTCTAATTTAAAGAATTTCTTAAAGGTACAGTAACAGGTACTTTAAACAGAAAGAAGAAAAATGAAGTAGCTTGTTCAGAAAATATTATACAAATTTTTAAGTGACTAAGCAGACATCAGATTATCAAGATTTTATAGCAAAATCTCCATTTAAAAGTATAAAACCTAGAAAACAATTTTTTTATTTACTAAAATAAGGTTTTTTTCAGATTGCATTATCATTGTAGAAAGAGGATATATATACAGAATGTAGATACACGTACATTCACACACCTATGAAGCACAGATAATCAATGTTACCTTTTCGGTGTACTTCTTTCCAATCTGTTTTCTCCAGTTTGTTTTACAAAGCTGAGATCACACTGTATATGCTATTTTACACTCTACTTTTTTTTTCTCTTATTATTATGGAAGCATTTCCTCATGTCATTAAAATTATTCATAACATTCATAAAAATTTTAAATGATTTAATAGGATTCAATCACATAAAAAATATAATACAGTTTATGTTATTGCCATTCTCCAGCTTTTGGACATTCTGATTGTTTACCTTCAATAGAATTTTGGTTAGTCCATGATACTATGTTCAGGTTCTCTAATAAAAGGAAAATATAGTCATATAACTCATTCTTCAGAATTGCAGTAAAATGTCTTCATAGATCCCGTGGCAGGAGAATAGCTGAACAAATTGGAGGACCTGGGAAAAAAACAAAAGACATGTGTGCGGGACCTGGAGGAACAGTGGGGAGTGAGGCAGGAGCTGAGGTTGGAGCTGAAGAAGTCAGATACAGGGCAGCATTGACCATATTAAGAAATTTTTATTCTAAGAGCAGTAGAAAGTCATTGCTGGGTTGTAAGTGGAAGTAACTTGATCCAAAGTATGTGTTTAAAAAGATCATTGCTGTGAGTGGAGAAAGGATTAGATTGACCAAAGTACCTACAGAGACCAATTGGGAAGCAATGCCGTGGACTAGGGGAGAGATGTTGATCTAGAGTGGAAATGTGGTGCAGAGGGAAAGTGGAACAATTGGAGATTGTATTTTGGAGGTTGAATGACAGGATTTTTGATAGCTTGAAGTGAAAGTGTAGAGAGGAAGAGGAATGTGTCAGTGATGCCTCAGGTTGCTGGCAGTCATAACTGGAAAGTGGTGAAGCCATGTACCTTGATGAAGTATGAGAAAATGAGTGAAAGCTGCCTCCCAGGCTACCAAGGAAGACAAGTTAAGATTGCTGTGCTGTACATATTATGGGAGATGTGAACAGGACATTATGGGTGTCCAGGGGAGGAGTACTTACCCTAGAGATAACAGAAAATGCTTTCTGCCAAATCTGATCCGTGAGCTGTGTCTTGAAATGAATATGCATATTTATGTGCACATAATTTTTTTAAAAATGCAACATAATTGCTCTTTTAAAATCCAAGATATATTTGGATTGGCTAGTCCTATTCTGATTGAATCAGTAATTTACCTAATCTAAACTAATAAAAGAGAAACATGGTAATTGGCGTACGACCACTACCCTTTTCATTGGCTAATCAGCGAGATATGCAAATTAACTGTCAGCGAAGATGGCGGCCGCCAGCCAGGCAGGACTCCCCGTCCTGGGTAGTAGAACTAGTGGGGCTTCCTCCAGGGCTCTGTGCCGTTCCCCCCAGGCCAGACCAGATGTGCTCCGCCTGGCCACCAGGTAAATGTTCACCCTGTCTGGCCACAGGGAGATGCCGTGCAATGAACTGGGGATTTCCACTCTGGGTAGGGCATTGAGGGAGGCTGGAATCTGGTCTGCCTTTTGCTCCCAGGAAGGTGC